AATTCAAAATACCCACCCCCACACAGGCGTGCCGGAGGCAGCCGATCAGTGATTCTCTCTCACAATTGATGTTTCCATCTCTCCCTCTCCCTTCCTTTCTTAAATCAATAAAAAATATATTTTAAAAAAATACTCCTACCCCCACACCCCACCCCCATCTCCATCTCTCCAACATCCCTATTACCTTGGCACTGCAGATACCAGCGCCCTGACTGGGCTTCTAGACCGCTGAGTTCTGATTGGTCGATGCCTGGGCGGGACTTGCCTCTCATTGGCTTATTCCCCAAGTGGCTACATATTGGCCAGTGCAACTCTAGACCATTAACTACACTTTACTCAATTGATCTGACTTCACGGGCCTGGCGCTCAGAGGTCTGAAATGAGCAAGGGAAGCACAGGGTTAGGGCAGAGCGCCACCCAAGGGCAGCCTGGCCACGCTTACAGGGTCAGTTGGCTGGAGCCCCTGAAGGCGGTGGTAGCCTCACCCCTCTGTCGGCCCCTAGGTCTGTGCAAGGGGTACAGAGCCTGGATGAGCCGGGAGCGCAGAACCTTCGGCTGCTGCCTGATGGCCCCAACGCCCTTCACATCTTGGACGGCCCGGAGCAACGCTATTTCCTGGGCCTTGTGGACCTCGCCACCGTCTACGGGCTCCGCAAGCGACTGGAGTACCTGTGGAAGGCGCTGCGCTACCCCAACCGGGCCTTCTCCACCGTCAGCCCGGCTCTCTACGCCCGTCGCCTCTGCCAGTGGGTGGAGGCGCACACCGAGTGACCGGCGCGGGCCGCGCTCTCCCCATCTGGACAATGGGCACAGGCCCGGAATGCATGTGCCAGCTTGGTCGGGCTCCCCCAGCCTGCTGTTCCTCCAGCGGGCCTCCAGAGGGCAGCATTCTCCAACTAATATGACAACCTTATTTAATGGTGATGCTGTGCCTGGCTGGTATTTTGCCAGGGACTCGCCATATTAGCTCATTTTATCCTCAAAAAAAAAAAAAAATGCTATTATTCTCTTTTCACAGACCATGAGATGGAGGTTCATGGGGTGAAGGGACTGAGCAAGATCACTCAGCAGTAAATGCTGGAACCAGGACTCGACTGTGCCTTTTGGACTCAGGAGCCTGTATTCTTACCAGCTCCCACAGCCCTGTCCTCATGCTCTCAGAAACGGGGGAGGCTGAAGGCTCCAGCCCAGGCCCTTTGTCGTACAGATGGGGAAACCGAGGCCCAGAGATTTTAAGGGGCGTATGCACGGGTAAGTGGCAAGGCTAGCCCCGGAACTCCAGGCCTCCCTATCCCCTGCCCCTGGCTCAAGGAGGGCCCTTTAAGGATGCAGGTAGGAGAAGGTGGGGTATTGGGGGGCCTGCAGCTCTGGGAAGCACTATGTTGATCTTGCGTAAGCTCTGCCCTCCTTTGATAGTCACTTTTCTCATCTGAGAAATGGGGGTAGGGGTGGTGGGCAGACCAAGGGCCCTTGCCAAACAGACATCACCAGGAGCAGAGAAGCAAAGTGTCTGCACAGCCCCTGACCATTCCTCCTCCCTCCTCCAGGAGACTCCAGCCGGCCTCTGACCTCAGTCCAATCCGACCATGCCCAAGCCGGCCTTTCCTCTAATGCTGCTCTGGGGCCTGACTGTGTGACCAGGGCAAGGTGTTAACCTTCTCTGTGCCTCAGTGGTCTAATCTGTGAGATGGAAGGATGAAAATGGACCTCATTAACGCATTAAATATTTATCAAGCACCTGCTATGTGACAGGCTGGGCTTTGGGGATGTGGGAGTGGAGCACAGATTTCACCTTCACAGAACTCAGTCTGGGGTGGGGGTGGGAGGCGGTGACAAAAGCGGCCTGGTGTAACAAAGCCTTGTGAAGGACCATGAGGCCATGGAGCTCAGGGAAGGGGCCCCCACCTCAGTAGTTGATGGGTGGGGTTGTTTCTAATCTCTAAACTGAGATCAGAAGAGTCAACTGTCAGGTGCTGGGAGGGTCGCAGGCTAAGGGCCCAGCAAAGGGCTGGGGTGAGAGAGTGCCTGACATCCTATGTAATAAAAGGGTAATATGCAAATTGACCAGGAATGATGGGGAACCACCGGTCACTATGATGCGCATTGAACACTGGGAGCAGACGCTCAATGCAGGAGCTACCCCCTGGTGGTCAGTGTGCTCCCACCACTCAGCCAGAGCCTGGATGTCCGACTGGGATATCCGCAGGGAGCGGGCCTAAGCCATCAGTCAGACATCCCCCGAGCACTCCCAGGCTGCCAGAAGGATGTCTGACTGCCAGCTTAGGCCTGATCCCCTGAGGAGCAGGCCTAAGCTGGCAGGTAGACATCCTCCAAGGCAGTGGTTCTCAACCTTCTGGCCCTTTAAATACAGTTCCTCATGTTGTGACCCAACCATAAAATTATTTTCGTTGCTACTTCCTAACTGTAATGTTGCTACTGTTATGAATCGTAATGTAAATATCTGATATGCAGGATGGTCTTAGGCGACCCCTGTGAAAGGGTCGTTCAACCGCCAAAGGGGTCGTGACCCACAGGTTGAGAACCGCTGCCTTAAGCTGCTCGTGAGTGACATCTAAAGTCTCATACTCAGCCTACTGGGGCAGATACCCAGGGGGGCCAGGTAGGTGGGAGAGGCCAGCTGGGTCTAATGCTGAGGGACAGGCAGGTGCCCAAGATCGCATGCCCCATCTGAACACAGCGCTGGCACCTCAGGGAGAAAGGGCCAGCCCGCCTTGGCAGATCTGTTTTTCCTGGGAAGCCAAAAATCTAGGTATGTTTTTCTTTTCTTTTCTTTTCCTTTTTAAATTTGTGAGGGCTCCTGATTTTAAAATGTTGGTAGCCAAT